TAGTCAAATTTATATATTTTTTCTTTTGTTGTCTGGGATTTTAGTGTCATATCCAAGAAATGACTGCTAAATCCAATGTCATGAAGCTTTCCTTCTATGTTTTCTTCTAAGAGTTTTAGGTTTTAGTTCTTACATTTAGGTTTTAGCTCTTGTAATTAATACATTTAGTTAATTTTTGTGCACAGGTGGGTAAAAGCCCAACTTAATTCCTTTGCATGTGGATATCCAGTTTCCCCAGCATCACTTATTGGAAGGCCTGTTCTTTCCCCACTGAATGATGTTGGCATCTTACTAAAAGTCATCTGAGCATATATATTCTCTACTGGGTTCTCTATCACATTCCACTGGTGTATATATCTCTTCATGCCAGGACCACATTATTTTGATTAATGTAGCTTTATAATAAGTTCTGAAATCAGGAAGTATTGAGACATTCAACTTTAGTTTTCCTTTTCATATTGTTTTGGCTATTCAGGGCCTCAAAAATTCATATGTATTTTAGAATGGGTTTTTTCTTTTTATGCAAAGAATACCACACAGATTTTGACAGACTGAACTGATCTATACATTGCTTTAGGTAGTGTTTGACATCTTTATAATATTAGTCTTCCAATCCATAAGTACAAAATTTCTTTTTATTTATTTGTGTCTTCTTTTAATTCCTTGCAACTATGTTGTGTACTTTTTCAGTATACAAATCTTGCACCTGCTTGCTTATGTTTATTCTGAGGTATTTTATTATTTTTATGCTATTGTAAATGGAGTTATTTTCTTAATTTCCTTTTCAGAGTGTTCATTGTTGGGGTATAGAAATGCAACTGATATTTGTGTGTCAATTTCTTGCAAATTTGCTGAATTTGTTTATTAGTTCTAGTGGGTTTTTTGTGCAGTCTTAGAGTTTTCTACATGTAAAATTATGTTGTCTGCAAACAGAGATAATTTAACTTCTTCCTTTCCCATTTGAATGCTTTTTATTTCTTTTTATTTCCTAATTGCTCTGACTAGGACTTCTAGTTCTATGTTGAATAAAAGTGGTAAGAGTGGGCATCCTTGTCATGTTCCAGATTTTAGAGGAAAAGCTTTCAGTCTTTCACCATTGAGTGTGTTAGCTGTAGGCTTTTCATATATGACCTTTATTATTTGATCATTACATATGACCATATTATTTTCATATATGACCTATATTCATATGTGACCGTTATTGAGATAGCTTCCTTTTATTTCTAGTTTATTGAGTATTATATTATGAAAAGAGTTGGATTTTGTCAAATGCTATTTCTGCATCAGTTGAGATGAATATATGCTTTTCATCCTTGATTTTGTTAAAAGCAAATGGTAAACAGCCTGTTCTCTTGTTCTTTGATTAAGAAGGTAAAACAAGTTTCTATAACAGCAAAATATATAACCTGCCCTCAAAAAAATAACCATTTATAAACCTCTAATGAAATGACAGATCTTCTAGGCAACGATCATCAGTGGATCCTAAAACCCTTAGATGAAAGGCTGAGAGAAAAATTAAGTTGACAATCCCTGAACCCAGTCATCACTGAAATCAGCATAACCAAACATTATGTGCTTCAAGAAATGATGCCAAACAAGTACACTACAAAGTATTTCTGCTGAAATAAACTGAACCTATATCTAAGCAAGCCTCTAGGTCTAATCACCAATCCATAAGAAATACAAGAAAAGGAACAGGATAAGCAACACCACAATGAAAGCAATCCGCCAAATCCACAGAATGTGGCACATTCTGCAAGGATGATAAATGTTGTGGTTTCACTAACAAGACCATTAAACAAAAAAGGAGGACAGATAGTTATAGAATAAAAGAGGCTTGTGAGTCACAATGATTTACAATGTGTAGACCTTATTTGGATGCCAGTTCAAACCAACCAACCATGAAAACGACATCATTGATACTGTTAGAAAAATGTGAATAATGAGTAGGTATCAAATGATACTAAGGTTTACTGCTAATTTTGTTAGGTATGCTAATAGCATGGTTATGTTTTTTAGAAGTCTTTATCACTTTGTGTTGCATAGCAAAGTATTTACTGGTGAAACGATATGGATTCTGGGATTTGCTTTAAAATACTTCAAAAATAAATAGATAAATAAAAACAAGGGCATAAATGAGAAATAAGAATGGTATAAAGCTAGACTATATATATATAGAGAGAGAGACAGACAGACAGACAGAGGTAGACAGAGATTCATTATACTATCCTTTTTTCGTACATATTTGAAATATTCCATAATAGAAAGTAAAACAAAATTTAAAACAAACAACAGCAAGAAAAACCCTCTGATGTGGATGGGCCCTGGAGCATCAGAGAGTGGGCATCTGTGTCAAAGTTCAGATCTGCTACTAACTAGGGCTCTGGGCATCAGCTGTTTTATTCTTAGAGTGAAAAGCTGGATTTGGACTTCTAAAAGTCTCTTCCAATCCTAACATATTATGACTCTGTTACTCTGAAATCCCCATCTCTGTTTCCTTCTCAAGAATCCTTTCCCAACGAAGTAACTGTAAGCAAGACAGGAGTTTTCTCTAACTCTCCCAAGACTACTCTCTCTGAGTACATGACGTGCCTAGTTCACTTTCTATTCACTCATACAGAGAAAGCACCACAACTAATTTCTGTATATCGAAGTCATTCAGCACTTGCTCTACCCCATATATACATCTTCTTCTGTTTTACATGTACATATACATGTCAGTGTTGTAAGTCGGGGGCTATAAACTAGGACACTGTCAACCCAGCATATGGGTGTTTGCTTAATCACCCCGATGACTTAGCACATGGTCAACATGCAGCAAACATATACGATCATAACACTACAGTGTAAATAGTGACCTTTCCAAGCACTCTGTAGCAGCTGGCCTAACTGTCCATAGACAGAACACAAAAACCTGTATATTCTGGCTTAATTTGCTTCTTTTCCTCCTGCCCAACATTATGATTTGTCATTTGGTGGATTGTATTTCCAGGGATGAGAAATGTGATTTAAGGAATAGGTAAAATAGGCCACTCAATATTGATTTAATCCACAAGATTTCTCTTTTCCCTCATGAAATCGGAGTGTATGACCCTCTTTCCTCAGTAAAGACTGCAAACATCTCCAATTCTGTCTTTCAGATAACTTCTAAAAACCAAGTAGTGACTATATGAAAGCTTATGTGGGTTTCTTTTTTATTTGGGGTGGGGGCTGGGGTGAAGAGAGGGAATGAGACAGATGGCTGTGTTATGACTGTTTGGCCTATTCCAACAGAATCATCTTATTTTGCCTATATGTAAATTTGCTTATAGATAAATTTTCTCTAATCTATCCTCTCAACAACTCTAGAGTGACCTGATCTAAGGGAATCAACCACTACAGGTTAGTGATAAAGGTTAGTGAATATAGCAGAATTGTCTTAAGAAAAAAAAAGTGACCATATACTTCCAACACAGATTGCAAAAGAGAAGCCCTGTACTCTTGCAAGTGACCTCACAGGGCTATGTTGCTCAGATAGTACTTCGCTTACTGAACTGCATACAAACTTCTCAGCTCACGTTCTATACACAGGCTAAGGATAGTTCTTACTTTCAGGGATCTGTTACAAGTATCCAGTGAAGTAATATACATGAAGTGTTTAACACAGCACCTGGGAGCAGTTGGCACACAAGATAATTCTTGTAGGCACTTCCTTACACCCCTTGAACTCCCTAGAAAGAAGACATTTCAATAAACATTTATTGAATTAATACACTGAATGATATCATGAGAATGATAAGTTGTTCAATAACCGTGAACAAATAGAGGCTTTCCCTTAACCCAGTCATATAACTTGTCAGCGAGTTTTACACCAAGTGTTAAGCTACAGAATGCCCCAGCATAGAACTTTAAAATCAAATAACTCAATTTTGAAATTTTAACAGGTAGAGTTCATAAAAGGAAGGCCCATTTATTCAGATGAATCAAAGATGAATCTAAGATATAATCATATTTTATGTGTACCAGTCATTCACCCTAGAATCAAAGCACTCACCACATATCTCATTAACCCTTGTAACACCCACCAGAGGCAGGTAGATGTCAGAGAGGATCCCCTTGTTATTGATGGAGAGAGAGCCTGAGGCCCAGGACAGTGAAGGGACTTGTCAGAGGCCACATCAAGTGAGTGAGTAATGGGGCAAGAAACGGAACTAAATTCTCCTCTTCATCCTCAGTACACTATTAGGTTTTACCGCGAAGTTGCCTAACATCTCAGTTACTTTTTATTCTAAAATCCATTTTTAGATAAACCCTCCTCTTTTAAGAAAATTAGCCAAGAGGACATGATTCAATAACTAAGTTAGAAAAAAATGTAAATCTATTAGGTTTTTTTGTTTGTTTTGTTTTAATGGTTCCATGATGACGGTTAACAACAAGTCCAGAGAAGAAAATGGAAACAAACGTTGGTTCAAAAACAAACTACTTCATAAGGCAAATCGCTGCCTTTTAGGGCAATTAATGTGAACTCTAATTTGCAACTGAAAACAGAGAACTTGGTTTTGAGTTTCCAAATACAACCGTAGAGGTTGAGCATATTTCTTCATTGATTCTCCTAAGATTCTACCTGGGGAGTGGTGGGTAAAGGAACTCTTCTTAATTGACGCATTATAACAAAGATTACCAGAATTTTCAGGTATTTTCATCTCCACATTTCCCCAGAAACCTGCAGGATGAGTAGTTACGGTTTTAGTATCCCTTGACTGAAAATAAAATAAAGACGAAATGACCAAAAGCTCCTATGAATTCGGGGACATTCTCAATGAACTTGTATTTACTCCCCCTATCTCCCCATACCAGAAAAAAAACCTACGCGCTGCGAAAGCGTGCTGGATGGACAGGTTCCCCTATGCCCGCCAGGAGCGCCCAGGCGAGGACCCCGAAGTCCGGGGCGCAGGGCCAGAAATCTGGAGTTTCCGTTCGCTCCATCGCTGGAGTAATGGGAGAAAAACGGGCTCACAGAGTCAACCACTCCATTTCCAAGTGGATTCTCTGAGAACGAGGAACTCGGTGCCAGGGCCTTGCAGCCCCGCACGCCTCAGCCCCCGCTCCCCAGCGCCCCCGCACTCGCCCCGGCGGCGCCGTGTCTGCGAGTCCCCGCCGGGGCTTGGCGCCCAGACCGCCCCGCGGAAGCCCGCGCCCGAGCTCGCCCCGCACGTCAGCGGCCAAGGGTAGGCAGGCTCTCGGTTCCCAGAGGAGTAGTTCCTAGTTTCCAGTTTCCTTCTCGACACGATTTCACCCTCGGGGTCTTCCACGGGGACTGGATGGTAGCCGCGCCCCAGGCTGGGGAAATCCGCGCCCGCGCCGGGCTCGGTCTATCCGGCCTGTGTGGCTTATTTCTACCCGGAAACTTCGAGTCGCGTGGGCCCCGGCAGGGACTTTGGAGGGAGAGAGTCTAAGAGGCTTCTCTTACTCTTCTGGACAGTGTGATGGGCCCACTCCAGGCCCCCTCTGGCTTCGGAGCAGTTCGGCCAGAACCTCAGACACACCCGGTGGCCGCGGAAGCGCAGAAGGGATGTTTGACTGGCCTGAGCCTCTGGCCTTCTCTCCACCTGCAGACCTTCAGAATCCAGGCCTATTGTGCCTGAGGCTCACGATCCTCTTTGCCTTCTTCCCAAAGGAAGGTTGGGACTTCGAGCCTGGACCCAGATTGTGGGGATTCTAGCCCCTGCCCCCCCTCAGCTCTATCTGAGCAGCTGACCCTCACTGCTCCTCAGCTTCTCTGCGAAGCAGGAGTTTTCAGAGCACCAACTGCAGAGGGTTGTTGTGAGAACGATATGAGATAAAACATTGACAGCCTTGGGGCACAAGGGTTGTTCTTATGTCGGGGGCTGCTTGGCAGAGATCAACAAGCTCAGTATATAAGGACTCATCCAATAGGCAGATATTTCTTGACACTGTATGCCAGGACCTAACCTGAAACTAGAAAGAAAGCAGAGAATGTAGCAGGTAAAAGTAGCTGTCCCCTTGGAGCTTGTGTGGCTGGAGGGGTGGAGCCAGGGAGCGTTGGGGAGAGGGTAGGGGGTGATCTTACACAGCAGATAGTGTGTACCATGTGAGAACAGGCAGTGGGACCCAGATGCACCTTTAAACAAGGTAGGCAGTTGAGCAAAGTGAGGGTAGGCAGGGAGTCATCGGAAAAGGTGGTCCAGCTAGAGGGAAGATCACAATGGACCTACTATCCAATTTGCTTCTAAATCCTCTCACACCCTTCCCACTTTCTGGACCTCCCCCCACCCCCACCTCAGCAAGCATGTGGCCCGAGATCCCTCTCTAGGGAGCTCTGCCCAAGGAAATAGGCTGGGTAACTGAAGGGAAGCCAAATTCTAGCACCAGTTCCAGCCTACTGTGTTTGTCAAATGCCCCCTCTCCATCCCACCTCACAGTCTGCCGCCCATCCTTACATAGCATCAAAAGAATTTCCCTGATAGAATCATAAAGGGGGAAAATTCCCATTCTTAAATCCATCTTCCCCTTCTCTCTTTCCATGGAAGATGGTGGTGCTGACACAAACCAAACAGAAGTACCCCCTACCCCACCCCACCCCCAGAGCTCTCAGTAGGACCAGTGACTGCACACCTCCAAGACACTGTACACAGAAACATCAATAACAGAGGAACAACTTCAGCTGATGCTATATTCTTCTTCACACTGCACCATTACAAAGAGAGAATGGCTTCTAAAAGCTAGGTAAGGCACAAGGAATATATGCACCCTTACCAGTCAGGCTGACTATTCACTATCAATCTCATATAGCCGTAAAAATCACTACCATTTACTGTTCTCTTCTTGTATGTTTAGTGTTTCAAGTGTATTCACTTACTTAATATCATTGGTAACCCTATGAGGTAGTATCTACCTTCATTTTACAAGAATACTGAGTTTTAGAGCAGTTAAATGACTTGCCCCAGGTCACAGAGCTAGGCTTTTGTTGTGAGTTCCTTCATAATAAAATAAATATTTATTGAGTGCCTTCCATGTGACAGACACTATTCTAGGTACTGGAGACATGGCAATTGAAAAAAAATTAATCCCTGCCCTCCTGTAAGTGATTGTCATTCTGTGGAATAAGAAAAGTAAATACAGGATATGAGAAGTCAAGTATGGAGCAGAAAACTGAAGCAGAGAAAAGGAGGGGATGCAGTCACCATGATAAACAGGGGGTCAGGGAGAACGTCACCCAGAGGGTGATACTTGAGAACAGGACAGAAGCAAACAATGACTTTGTGAAGAAAAGTGCTCCAGGACTTCCCTGGTAGTCTAGTGGTTAAGAATCCACCTGCCACTGCAGAGGACGAGGGTTCAAACCCTGGTCTGGGAAGATCCCACACGCCATGGGGCAACTAGCCTGTGGGCCACTACTGAGCCCAGGCACCCCAGAGCTCATACTCCTCAAGGAAGAATAGCTCCTTGCTCACCACAACTAGAGAAAGCCTGAACACAGCAACGAAGACCCAGCACAGCCAAAACTAAATTTTTTTTTTTAAAAGAAAAGTGCTCCAGACAGAGGGCACAGCAAGTGCAAAGACCCTGAGGCATGACTAATAGAAAGAGCAGGGTGGCTGGGGAGAGTGAGCTTGGGCCAGAAGACATGGAGAGAAGGGGTCAAGGAGGGGTGGTCACTCTGGGTGCAGACCCCGAAGGACATAGGCTGTGACCCTGGGTGAGGTGGGGAGTCCCTGGGGCTTCTGAACTCCCTCCTACAACAGGGTCGCTCTGGCTGCAGTGCACTGCAAGGGGACAAGACAGAAATATGCAGAGCGATTGAGAGGTTGTCATAACAACTTAGGTCCGAGAAGATGAAGGTGTGGACTAGCAGAGGTCGGATTCTGAGGATACATGGAAGAATGAGGTTCAATGTTTTCCAGTACTCAAGGATGCTGCCAAGGTTTTGGCCTGAGCACCTCCTGGGGGGAAAAATAATCGACTTGCTGTTAAGGAGGGAGTAGGTTTGGGGACAAAGCTTTCCAACAAGCTACATTTGAGTGTGTTGTAAGCCTTTGGGTGGAGATACAAAAGCGGCAGGCAGTGTAATAAACAGAGCCGGAGGTTGGAGCTTAGGGTAGTTCCGGCTGAAAATACACGTATTTTAAATGGGGGGAGGCTGGAGGTGCTGTTCACTGCCAGAGATCACTTAAGGGGTGAGGGCAGCTGGGGAAAAGAGGGCCAGGTGTGTCTCTACTTTCCCCACTTCGGCAGAACTGATGAGTGAGGGAGAAAAAGAGCACAGCCTCGGAGATTGGCTTACTAGGTGTTTCTACTGTTGAAGCTCTGCCCGCTCAGCTAGACAGAGATAACCGTCGCTGAGGCAGCTAGGAGGAAGCAAGAGATTGGGGCGCCCCACTGGGTATGGAACAGCCAGAAGTTCAGGTGTCCACGATGCCCCGCAAGTCACTAATCTCTCATGTCAGTACACCCCGCTGTAAAATGGGGATACTGATACTCTCTTGGGCTTGCCTGGTGGCTCAACTGGTAAAGAATCCACCTGCAATGCGGAAGACCCGGTTGGATCCCTAGGTTGGGAAGATCCCCTAGGGGAGGGCATGGCAACCCACTCCAGTATTCTTGCCTGGAGAATCCCCATGGCCAGAGGAGCCAGGCGGGCTACACACAATCCATGGGTCGCAGAGTCGGACCCGACTGAGCGGCTAAGCGCAGCACAGAACATACTCTCACTGAGCAGCAGTCTGGGTTGCGTGTGCGAAAGTAACCCAGAAAACCGACTCTTGGCGCCTTCCTGTTGCTCAGGGCGCTCCCCAGCACTGCACGTCCTGTCTCCCTCCACGCATTGTCCCTCTTCCCACACGCCTCCCCAGCGCAACACTGGTACAAAATGAGTTTTTCGGGAAAGCGTGAATGAAACCAGAAAAGAGGAGTGCACTCCAGAGCCCAGAGCGGACGCCTGGGTACCGGAGCAAGCCCGCAGTCCACCCGCCTTGAAGGGCAGGGATCGCGAGCACCGAATCTCTGTGGCGTGGCTCTGCCTCGAGCCTGGAAAGGAGACGCGGTCCCCGACACCACCGACTCAGCCCTCGGACACACAGCCCCTGCGCCAGCGCCTTCTTCTATCCGCAGACCAGGCGGGAGGGGTCCCGGCGCTTCCGCCCAGCAGCGAGGGGCGCAGAGCTGGCCGCGGTTCTCCCCGACCAGCTCCGGTGGCTGGCGGCCGTCGCGCTGGGGCTGTGCCGCCGCCTGGACGCGGGGTGCCGGGGTCCTGACGAGGACCGGCAGGCGGGCGCGCAGGGGACCTGGGGACCGCGGCGCCCCGGCTCCCGCCGCGCCCGCCTGGGCGCACCGGGAAAGGCGCTCTGGCTGCGGATATATATATATATATATATGTTTTTTTTTTTTTTTTAAGAGGGACTCCTTCTCTCCTACTGAGGTCCTCAGATTTCTAAAGGGAAGGAGAACCCAGATTTCCTGTAGACATCGAGGAAGATCGTGTAGGACCCTTTCTGATCTGAGATCAGATGGTTGTTCTGGTAGAAGCAGCCCGGGCCCCCAGGAGCCATAGAGCCTGCCCGAGAGACTAGAACGTCCGGAGAACTCAAACCTTGGGACCGTTTCCCATGCCCGCGGGTGAAATCCTCGTGCTGAGGATCTCACACGTTATAGTAGAAATTCATTAAACCGAATTTACAAGACATCTTTTCAATACCTTCCAGAGAAATGGGCCTAGCAACAATGGGCCCAATCTAGCAACAATGGAGGAATTAATGTAGGTGCTTGGCGCAGTGGTTCTTCAACTTCGGAGGGTCACAAATTTCTTCAACATTGGACGCAAGCTATGGGTCCTAGCTTGAAAACACACACCACTTTGGGATGCATGCTTGCCATTTCAGGAACACACACACCTCTCTCCTCTATCACACCTGGAGCCCTGGATAAGAACGGGTGCCTGACAGAGAGTATGCACGGACTTCGTGATCTCTGTAGAGGAAAAAAACAAAAACAAAACATCTGCCGGGGTTGTTTGGGTGGTTGTTTTTTTCCTCAGTAACAAGTGGACAACAGCTAATCAAGTGATCAAGTGAGTCTGGCGGATATGAAAGGACACAGACCTCCTGGAAAAGGAAAGATGCAATTAAAATAGAATCTTTCTCTTAGGTTGTCCTGCCCTCTCCAAACCACCAACAAAAAATGTAATTAGAGCAAAAAATGTTTTGGAAGGAAGTTAGGAAACAGGGAAGATTTCCTCAAATGTAATGATGACAGTTCTGTAATTTTTTTTATTGTTAACCAAGATACGTGTAAGCTATAAGCCAAAAAGCTTTGACGGCCTCAGAGAAGCAGTCCTTGTGCTGTTTTAGGGGTGGGGGAGAGACAGTAATGGGGAAAGCCTTCCATACTGCTCCAAGGACAGCAGCAGCCCTCCACCGTCTCACTGGCCTGCTCATGGTGTTTTTGTGTAACCATGGAGGATAACATATCTGTCTTATTTTATTTCACCAGATGGAGAAAATGCAACAATATTTGAAAAAAAAAACATTTCCTGTCTTTTTGTTCTTAACATAAAATGTACTTTATGGCTATTTTTTTTTCCCCCAGCATATTTTCTCCTCCTCTGGGGCACTTTTTAAAGCCTCAAAGCATATATTTGCAAGGAGTCTTGGATTTTCACAATATTCCTAACTCTCTATAACCAAGACTTGCTGGACCTGCTCCATTAGGGAAACTTGTGTTTTACAAGCTGTAGCCGATAACTGCAATAGCTAAAGCTTTTTTTTTTTTTTTTGAGGGAAAAATTTAAAACACTTAGTATTTATGGGCCATCGCTTCTTTTTTTATTACCCATTTAACCATGTCTTTTCTTTGACGCTCATCCAGAGAGACTCTCATCATCCATGGCTAGATCAGAGAAGCCAAAAGGAAAGGTCTTCATCATCTCTAATCTCCATCTCTCACCTCCCTCCAAAGCAGTTTACAATAAAGAGAACTCACTCCCACATCCTGATCCCTGTGCTTCTTTGATCTTCCCCATCATTTTCTTATTAAAAACAACTGCTCTGTTGCCACCACCACCAGTATTAAGTCGTCTGAGTAACTATTTTCATCCTTAAATTTTTAATTTTGAAAATCAAGTCATATATTAGAGTTATTATGGCAAATACAATATCCCCACTTGAAAAACAGGGGAAATCTGTAGAACACAACCTATTAATTTTCCACCAGTTAGAAAGCACTAAAATGCTACTTTCTGAATATGGGTCTCTGGTTTTTCCAGTCTCGCTTCTTCCTGTCTCAGTCACACCACCTTCATGGTTTCCTGGATTATTTCTTTCACTGAACAGTAATTAAAAATGAGCAAATATTAAATTTCATACCCATCAACAACCACTTTAAAATGTGCATTCTCTAACAAGTTACCAAACTCCACCAATGATGCAATATACCACCAAATTCCAGTGAAACAAAATAATTTGAATAAGCCTTCAGACTTCACAGTCTTAGAATTTAATAACTATACGTTTCCTCTTTACAAATGAGGGGTATCAAATAATTTAGCAAATAAAACATGTAAAACAAAGGTTAAAAAGCTTATGCCAATGTAAAAAAAAAAAAAAGATACACTATGGTTGTGATAAAAAAAAAATAAAATTAAAAAAAAAAATTAAAAAAAAAAAAGCTTATGCCATAGATTTTATACATAAAGATTATAATCAAATTTTGGGAAAAGGGCATTAACATTAAGTTAAGTCGCTCAGTCGTGGCTGACTCTTTGTGACCCCGTGGACTATAGCCCACCAGGCTCCTTCATCCATGGGATTCTCCAGGCAAGAATCAGTCAAAGTTAAAAAAAATGAACAAAGCAAGGTTCTTTAGATTTTTATATGATACCTAGACTTGTATACAAGTCTATAGGGAATTCTTTCATTCACAGTTAGACATATACCTCCAGATTCTGAATTTCAGGGTCCCTAAGATCACAAGTACTTTCCACTTAGAATTATCTTCCTCCAGGAAATATGTTCTCATCCTACAGCTTTCACCAGGTGGGGTGGCTGGGTCAGGAGCTGTTGCTACAATTCCCTCAGCCACATTTTGTCCTTTCAGCAGAGCACTGATTCCTGCCTTTGCACAGACAACTGTGTGTCTTCCCTGATACAGTGTAAAGTGTAGCAGGGAAGGGATTACATCTGTTTTGATCAGTATTGTATTCCAATACTTACTAAATATTTAATGAATTAATAGTAGAATTGGTAAGTGTCTTTTTGTTAAACCTAGGGAAGGGAAGAGCAAGAAACAAAACCAGAGATGAATTCCTTCCATCTCTTTCATTCAATCTAATGAGGAAGCCTCATGAGTAAAAGGAGGGCTGGGTAACAACTGGCCAGACACCTGAGTTTAACACCCAGCTCAGATACATACGAGCTGTGTGACTTTGGAGAAGTTACTTAACCTCTCTGAAGCTCATCTCCTTTTCTGCAGAACAGGTATAATAAAGCCCACCTTGTAGGACTGTTTCAAGAACTTACAAATACAAAAAACACATGACATATGTAGGCAATCTATAAACAAACATTATAGAAACAACAAGGACCTACTATAGAGCACAGGGAATTATATTCAATATATTGTAATAACCTAAAATGGAAATAATCTGAAAAAAGAATATATATATACATAACTAAATCACTTTTTCAGTTCAGTTCAGTCACTCAGTCATGTCTGACTCTTTGCAACCCCATGGACTGCAGCATGCCAGGCCTCCCTGTCCATCACCAACTCCCAAAGTTTACTCAAACTCATGTCTATTGAGTCAGCGATGCCATCCAACCATCTCATCCTCTGTCGTCCCCTTCTCCTCCCACCTTCAATCCTTCCCAGCATCAGGGTCTTTTCCAATGAGTCAGCTCTTTGCATCAGGTGGCCAAAGTATTGGAGTTTCAGCTTCAGCATCAGTCCTTCCAATGAATATTCAGGACTGATTTCCTTTAGGATGGACTGGTTGGATCTCCTTGCAGTCCAAGGGACTCTCAGGAGTCTTCTCCAACACCACAGATCAAAAGCATCAATTCTTCAGCACTCAGCTTTCTTTATAGTCCAACTTTCACATCCATACATGACTATTGGAAAAACCATACCCTTACCTAGACGGACCTTTGTTAGCAAAGTAATGTCTCTGCTTTTCAATATGCTGTCTAGGTTGGTCATAACTTTTCTTCCAAGGAGTATGCGTCTTTTAATTTCATGGCTGCAGTCACCATCTGCAGTGATTTTGGAGCCCCCCAAAATAAAGTCTGCCACTGTTTAAAACTAGCATATTAAAAACTGAATGTGACCAAAATTAGCACATTAAAATTAACTATATTTCAATTTTAAAAAGGTTTGATTTAAAAAACGTTATTATCATTCATTCATTGATTGTGGGTCTGCTATGAGCACTGGGGATACAAAGATGAATAAGCCAAAACCCTTCCTCAAGACATCAGTCTCATAAGTAATAAGGCAAAGGTGGTACCAGAGACAATCAAAAGGAATTATTGGAACAACTCAGGGGAGAGAAGGGTACAATCCAAACAGAGGGGAGCATATGATTAGAGACACAGGGTCTAAACACTATGGCTTATGAAGATGACCACAATAGGCTGGCTTCCCATTTACTGCAAAGTGAGCCCCCAGTTGATTACAGTGACTGATGGGAACCCATTTAAAATCAACTCACACACACTATCTTCTCTCTGACCTCATCTGGTACTACTCCTTGTGCTCTCTCTGCTCCTGGATGTGCTAAGCACACCACACCTTAGGGTTCTGGACAGGCTGTTCCTTCTGCCTAGATTTCCTTCCTCTGTTTATCCATGTCTCACCTCCTTTCCTGTCTTTGCTTTAATGTCACCTTTTCAACAAAGCCAGCCTTGATCAGCCAATCTAAAATCACACTCCTCCCAGATGCTATAAAATGTGCTTGCTTCTTATGTTCATCTTCTACTGTCACCACCCACCCCCTTCCATATAGTTTTGTTCCCCAAGGTATGCCAAATGCCTAGCATTTGGGCTGGCACACACTAGTGTCAAAGGAGTGAATCAAGTGTGGTTGGAATGTGAAGTCAGGGCAGGAAGCGGAGAGGTAAAGCTGGAGAGATGTATGGAGGCTTGAATGCTGCGGCCAAAAGCTGAGATTTTTATCTGGTAAGTAAGGGGAAGCCATTAAAGGTGAGCGGCATGTTTAGATCTGCCTTTTAGATAAGTCACTCTGGGAAAGGATTTGAAGAGAATAGTGGCCAAGCCTTAGTGTTAAGAGCCTACAGCAGCAAGTGAGCTAGATAGTAAGACAGAAAAGCCTTATGTAAGAGCAGTAGAAATAAGAAAAAAAGGGAGGGATATATCTGAGACAGAATCAGGTGGCTAAATCAGGCAGTACTTGATAACTGAGTTAAAGTGGAGGGAGAGAGAGAAAGAAGACTCAAAAATCACTCCCCAGTGCAGCACTGTCCCTATTCAGTGAGGTCTAGAATATGGAGAGGAAGAAGGGTAGCGGTGGGGGGAGGGTGGGAGGGGTGATGAGTTCTTTCCATATATATCCATACATAAGTGGTCCCAATGTCATTGTCGAAGAGGAAATTTGGAGCTTAGGAGAGAGGTTTAGATCAGAGATATTCTTTCTACCTAGTGAAAATGACATTAATTTTAAAAGGAGAACAACTTTCATTTCACACACCCAAATTTACTTCCTAAAGCAACAAGAATTAAAACACAGCTATGTTTCTTAAAATTTTATATATTTACATAAATATCTCTGATTTTTCCACCAGATAGCAAAGAAAATCTTTGTTGTTGGTTTTTAATTGACTCTTACTCCAGATTTCACTTATTGTTAGGAGATGTTTCAGCTTAACTGCCCTGAGAAAATAATAATTTCTTCCCCACCCCCACTCCCCCAAATTACCTTGTTTGGTTGTGAAATAACTAGTGGTATAATACAGAGAACATACCCTTTCATTTTGTAAAAGTGTAAGGGGGAAGTTAAAAGAAATTCAAAGGCAATATTATATATGCAAAACAAATTTGAGGAAATACTTTCAAAATGACATGTAATTAGTTACTGGAAGTTACTATCACAACATATGATTGAAACAAATTGCTTTATGAGCTTTTCTTTCTCTCCAATCAAACCTCCATATAAATATAAAGCATGAAAGAAGGGACGACACTACATTGTCACTTAAAATTACAAACAAGAGGAAGTGTAAATTGTCTCACTTCAATAATGATAATAATAATTTATTGAGCACTTACTTTGTGAAAAGGCACTGTGCTAGGCAGTTGTCCAAGATTTACCTGATTTCCTCTTGAAAAAACAAAACAGGACGTAGACAGTCGAGCAACTTGCTAAAGGTCACTTTGCTATCAAGTGGCGAAATCATCTTTTAAGAAAGGGGAAATAAAATTCTTTTTTCTTTCCAAGATCCAATTATTAGTTGCAACTTGCCTTGACCTGTTCCAGATGGGCCCTGTGAAAGCACTGTATGTGAAGCAGTCTAACTGGTTCACAGGTTGCTGCTATACCCAGCACCTAGCAGGGCAGTCACTTAAAAATATGTATAATGTATAATAACTTTGTTATATAAATAAATGACATGAATGGGCTAAGCCCATGTAAGTTGCCCCACAGTGTTTGTAATAATATAACTGTTTTCACTACCTCAGTATTCTGAAACAGCATCTTTCTAAAGGTGAATTTATTATTTAGGACTCTGGAGATAATGTTTTTAACTCAACAGACAGCAACTAGCCACAGCCACGGAAAACAAGTGCCCAAGCACACACATTGGATTGTTAGCTGGGCCTGGTTGACAAGACTCCCAAGCTCATCCGAGAGCCAGCGCAGAGCCCTAGCCTTACAGTTTGGATGAACTGATTCCAGCCAAGTTATCCACGGATTAGAAGTGAGATGGATGCCATTGTCAGTTGTTTTTTTAAACCAGCGCTGCGTCCTAGTTTGTGTTAATAAGCTAGCATCGGTGGTCCCTTACTTTAACCTCATAAACTGCGTGGAGGACTTTTCTCCTCAAAACCAAACTACCAAATCAGCGCTCCTCCTGCTTTCTATTTTGGATTGCGATTCCCGTGGCCCTTGTAATTCGCTGAACATTTCGCGGACCAGCTAGTTCAGTTTTACCCTTGCAAGGCGGTAAACACCCGCTTCCCAGCCCCTCTCCTTCCCGGAACATCAGCACCGCCGCCACCAGCACGTGCAACCTTTATTTCTTTAGAATGCCTCCTATTTGTACTAGTGACCTCAAAATCCTTTCTAAACCCCCGCCCCCCTTCCACAGCATCGCTGGGCTCTGAACCCCACGGCCGAAAGTGAAAGCCGGCGCGGGGCCCAGCCGCCGCCTCGGAGCGCGCGCGCGCGGGGTGGGGGCGGGGCACGAGGACGTCCTTCCGTCACGTGACACGCGGCTGACCAATCCCAGCCCCGCCGCGCCGCGCGCTCTGTCTGGGCCTGGGAAGCTCTTCTCGGTCGGTCAAAGTTGTCATTTGGACTGTTACCGCCTAAACGCAGTGTAAAGAGGGCTTGCACCTTTTTCCGCTTCAGGTTCCCCGACTCCCCACACCGCCTGTGGACGTGGAGAGTCGGACGTGCCGAACTCCGGGCGCCTGGACACCATCCACAATTACTTTCATCATCCGCTACCTACTTAATGCGGGAAAGAACACTTTTAGGTCTAAGTCCCCAGGTGGGCCCAGAAAGGACTTTGGCCTCAGTTCTCTCTATAGTTTGTTTGCTGAGGAGGGAGCTAGGACTGTATGCCTTGCTCCTCCAAAGCAGAAGGGCAAAGTTATAGTTAGAAGGAATCCGAAGCCTTTGGGCCCCAACTTGCGACCCGGAGAGTCTCCCTTGTCACCACCTTTCCTAATTTGAGAGCGGCGACCCGTGAGCCCCTGAAAAACAGCAGATAAATGCAGACGTCAGCCCTTCTTTACACTATTTTAAATGACTGAATCTTTTTCTCCACTGGAATCTTAGTGCTTAATTCGGCATCTCAAACAGTTTCAAAGAACTGGAGACCCAATAGATTAAAGTTTTGTCCTTTCCAAGACTTCTGGGAGGCTTAACTGTAGCTTCACGGTTTTTGCCCCCAGTATCTACCAAGAAACAAAAGCCGGCTTTCCCGAAGTGAATGACAATAGGAGAACTGGTTTAATCCCCCTCCGGTCAGGCAACCTTCCCCCCGCCCCGGCCCCCTCGCCCCGGCCCCCCGCCCAAGCCCTCCTTCACACTTCAACCTGCCCTTAGGTATGTTTGTGTAATCAGAGACTGATTGTAGCTGTCTCGTCGCTTCTCCCGAGGAAAGCTTAGTTGGCATTCACTGAATGCTTGTTTTCTATGTTAATCTAGGCCAACAGGGAAGATGCCACTTGGAAAACAGCCGGGTTCCTGCTGCACGTCTTCAGGAGCGCGCCGAGCTGCGCAGGTGTGCCAGTTTTGACTGCCATGAAGAGGGTGACGTTACAAGGTCTTTAAAACGTTACATTTGAGATTTTAGGAAATACAGTTTCCAAGACTACGATGGCTATATATATATAAAGCTAGGATTTTAGTGAAGAGACTCACTCCCGGGGTTAGTAAGAAGAGTGGTGACTTGGAGGCTCTGTTCTTGCGTCATCTGAAACCCTAGCGATGCAGATGGGTAGCTCTCCGGCATTTATTATTCGGTATTTTAAAACGGTGTCGAAAGACAGACGTTAGAATTGATTATTTCAGTTTGTTTGAAGGACAGAATTCCGTGTCACCAACGTGTAAGGGTAAATGAAATGCAGAATCGGATACACCTATTTTTGGAGTGCTGAACTTACCGAATTTATGAGTTGTGAAGGGGAGCAAGGATGTCTGCGTTAGCTGAACCAGGGCAGGAGAGTTTATTACTCCAGCCACGGGAAAGCTGCCCCCAAAGTTTTACAAAACTTTGGGACCGTGGTGAGGGGGGCGAGGAGCGGGAGTGGCTCTGGGGACCGGGCTCCCTTCCGGCCTGCGGTGGACGCAGTTGGGAGCGAAACGTCCACCGGAGACGCCGTGGGAGGCCGGGGGGGTCGAGGTAAGACACGGCGAACGAGGGATCCCGCTCGAGACAGTCTTTCTCCCCCAGGGTCATCTGAAGAAACACTTTCCATGGCGAATTCTATCGAGCTCAGCGTGTGTGCAGCTAGCGGCTCTCGATTGTACTATGTAAGCCTAAAGTGCGTAATTAAAAAAAAAAAAAAAAACTCTTGCAGCGAAGCTTCCGCTCGAAGACAAGCGAGGACCTGTGACCGAGCGGAGATAGCTTCTCAATTACGCACCTTTATTTCGTGCTCGAGCTCCTTTAAGTCGCTCACCCCTCAAAAAAGCGGGTAGGAGAATGAGAATTGCCAAAATGTTGTGTTCCTTTATTAGGGGTCCTGCCAACAGGTCTAGAGTACTCTCGACATGGGTTGAATTAGTCATTTTGTCTCGAGGTCCACAAGGCTCCTTCCAGGACAAGCTTCCAGAGACATCCTTTCCCGGATGCCCTTGCAGTTACAAGCCCCATAAATTACCAAGGGGAGCTTTCTCGGAGCAGATTTCGCAGCTAGGATGACTAGGTGTAGAAACTGTTAAGATCAATTTCAGGGCGCGCGTGCCAGGCTTAGGTGGGGAAGGAATTCTCGCGTCCGGGGCCCGAGCCGCGCCTTTCGCCCCAATCGAGGGGTAGTGGGCAGGTCTCAGGAGCCTCCGCAGACTTCGGAGCATCCCGAAGTCTTGATTATTTTTATTTTATTTACTTATTTAGTTTTAGCTGGGAGAGAAGAGGGCCCCTTGACGAGATTAGCGTGCGCTTTTTCTCTCCCGCCTGGCGGACAGCCGAACTCCTTAGCAGCCGCGCACTTCCCTCTTCCCGGTTTTGAAAGCCAAAGAGATGAGTCAAGCTCAAACGCCGCAGAATGACAATCTGAGCTTCTCGCCCAGTCTCTTCCAACTTCCCCCAACCCCGCCCCCCGCCCCACTTTCGTTTAGGTCTTGGATTCGAGGCAAGTCTATAGGTTAGTCTTGGACGGAAGGGAGTCTGGACAGGTGCCATCGGGGGCACATTCTCCTTGGGGGTTAATGAGCCTCTGACTGCGTCTCCCTTTGATAACCTGGCTGGGCACGTGAACTCAGCCATCTCGGTACTGTGGGGGACGGTCCCGTAGAGTTTTTCTTTTTCCCTTTTCTCTTTCAGCGGAGACGTATAGGGAAAAAAAAAAATTTTTTTTTTAACTTTAAATATTTTGGTGTATATAGAAACGAAAAACAAATTTCCCAAACGGGAGGCGGGGAACCAAGGGGGAATAAAATGACAGCGGTCATTGCCTTCACTACCCCGGTGTGGGAAGAGGAACCGCGTTTCAGAGGAGAATTGGTTAAGTATATCCTTTGGGAAAATAATAAAATACACAATAGATACCCGATACAGATGATTTGAGAAGTTCTGCTCCCACTGAAAGCCTTGTGGGGAGACATTATTTGGATGATTTCACAGTATTACATCTCCTTTTGAATTAATTTTTTTTTTCATCAGCGTTGGTTCCTTAATTAGGAGGCACAATGGAGTTTCTAACAGATGTAGTCAGCCACAAGCTCTGATCCAAAAGAATCAGTATAATTAATTTTAAGGGACATCTTTAGTTTATAAGGCCTGAAATTAAAATATGATGTGTTTTAAACACTGTGGTTCAAAAACACAGGGAAACATATTTGTTCCAGAGTCTTGTAGTGACACCCTTTCCCTCCTCTGGGTTCAGTGAAAAAGGCTTTGGAAGGAGATGGCTCCTCTCCTCTCTAGTACCAGTACCTCTTTATTCCATCTTGATTTCTTTGCATCAAGAAACATCTTAGGAAATTCTGCTTTTAAAATGTTTCCTGATTTTTAAAGTCAGCAAGACACATGAAGTCCTTTACGTACCACATGGTCCTGAACAGATCACACAGATATTTTTTTCTTATAACCTCACTGTTATAAAGAATATGCTTGAACAGCAATTAATCGAAATATAGTTTTCAAACATGTATAGTTTAATCTGAATGAATGTTGCCAAACTCCTAGTACACCGAAATATAAGCACAAAGGTCAAATTCTTTATAATAAGTGCCAAATAAATGTGATAATCACTGGTTGTTCCTGGTGAAGTGAAAATTATTTAATGATTGATTATTGCTAAATTGAATATATAGCACCAAGACAAATTATTAATGAGGTTTCCAAATATATTCAGTTCTTAATTCTTAACAGTATCCTGCTTTTTATGTAGTATCTTAAAGATTTGGCATTATAAATTACATTTCCCAAGCCTTGGAAAGAAGTGGAAAGTTAATGTGTTTTCTAGAGTTTGCAACCTCTCCTCTGACAAAAACCCTGTGATGTGGACAGTATTTTAATATGTGCCATGTTTTGAAACCCGTTTTTAACAAACTTCAGCCTCTGTGCATGATTAACTCCAGTAATCTATCAGATCTTTATGGCTATTTTAAGTAAAAGTTTTTAAAAAGTAAATACCAAGAGGGAATATTGCAAAGTGAAGTCTGTATCTTCTTAGTAACTTATATCCATCTGAGACTTCAGATTCATAAGTACATTTCATTTTATAATGATAACATCTTTGAAGGGGACACAGACCTATATTATCGTCTCCCTTTGACAGGGAGATGGTTCTGACACAAATGTTTCTGCTAACTAGACTGTCTCCTGGTTCAGGTCACATCCCCAAGATTTTGGTTTGCCATATTTAAATAAATAAGAAAAAAATGCTAGCCTTGCAAATGCTACCACCATTTGCAAGCATTAGCCTTGCAAATGCTTCTTTTATAACTGATTCCTTCACTTAACCTGCCCTGTACTGTACACTCATACTATCTACTCAAAGGTGGCTGAATTCTGAGCAATAAAAAATCTTCTTGATGGGCAATCTAATTTAAAAGACAGATGTGTATTAGGTAGCTGGGAAAGGTAAAAAGTAGAAGACTTGAAATCCAGAGATGTACAAATAAAAATGCCTCAGCAATAAGCATAAGGTACTGGGATGGATCAGTATTACTCTTCCCAAAAATTCTTTTAATAGCAGTATTTTAAGTTTTGTGCCAAACACCTTCTTCTAGCTGTCTAAATTGTTAGTGAGCTTTATCATGTCTCAAGGAGAGCCTGAAAGTGTGGGCCAGGATTATAATTTTTTAAAATCATTTCTTTCAGTCTGTTCTCTGTCTTTTTAATACTAGTACAGTTATTTAATTGATGGTACAAGTTTAGTCCTTTCTAAGCAAAATTACTTATTTGTTCTTTAGAGTTAATGACATTTCTCAATTGCACTTTATTAAGAATCTCATTGTATTTGGGAAACTGCCCATTTCTGTCTCCTGAACTGATTAGAGGTGATGTTACTGCACATAGGACTAAAGTTTCCCCAAGTATTGCTATCAGTCTACTTATAATTCTTCTTTATTAGAAGTAGGTTGGAAGGGTTGCCTTTAGAAAGCTTGTCTTCTCTTGTAAAAGGGATTTTAAAGTATTTCTTTACCTATTGGAAATTATAAAAGTAATTGGAGGCGTTACAAACTACAGGAAATGACTGGAAAATAATTAAAAGGAGAGATCTCTGGGCTTTGTAATGGGCATTTGGAGGACAGTTCCAGAGTATGTATTT